GCATGTGTGTGTTCTGGCTCTGACACACAGACCATCTGACATGGCCTCAAAACAGTTGAGCACAAAAGGCCAAACATCTAGATAGACACAATATTAATGCATAACAAGTCAAAGAAAATGACATAATAAAATTGATTTCAGTACATTAAAAGTGCAATCCATTATCATCCCAGGTGGCCATTAGCAGCATCATAACAAAACATGCTGTCAAATAACACTCTCATATGCCTCTATCCATAAGTATAAGCTAATATCAAGGGTTCAATTGTGGTTGGTTCAGTTTTTTAAATAGATGGGCCTATTTCGCTTGCCCCCTTGTAAGTTTACCCATGAGTAATGGAAATAGCTACAGTAACTATTCTGTGCACAAGAGAGAAGTCATCCTATTGTACTTGAGAATCAATAGACTTGCCCTTGTTCGGTTAATACACTCCCTCTCGTATCTTCAGTTTGATGCCTGGAGGAGAAGCGCCCGCAGTGGTTAATAGTATTGAACCGTTTCTCTTTTAAAGCCTCTGTTGCGAGACACAGAGCCAAATCGACAGCCGTGCGGTGGGCAACGCTGCAAGTTCAAACGGGTCAATGAGGAAAAATGTTTGAGCGCAAAAGGCAGAAACAGTAAAAAAAAAAAACAGCGCGCAATTTTCCTCTCAACAAAGTGTGCCATTAGAATATAAAAACCTACTATAAAGCCCTCTTGCCATGTTCAATTGACAAGGCTCATAAATATACAACCTATAAAGCTGACAACGAACTGTTTCTCAGCTCCGAGAATATTAGTTGCGTCCAAGAGTTGATTGGAGGCTTAAAAAAAAAAAACAGCGCGCAATTTTCCTCTCAACAAAGTGTGCCATTAGAATATAAAAACCTACTATAAAGCCCTCTTGCCATGTTCAATTGACAAGGCTCATAAATATACAACCTATAAAGCTGACAACGAACTGTTTCTCAGCTCCGAGAATATTAGTTGCGTCCAAGAGTTGATTGGAGGCTTTCTAATTCGCATATGTGTGTCCCATTTGGTGAACAATGATGTCATTGTATGAAATGAATGCAATTTGGGATAATGAGCTAGACTGACAGAGTCCAGCAACATTTTTGATTGGCTGTTGGCAGAATTACTGACCGTAGTCCTCCAGCGATTTGCACGTGATGTCCAAGTGGGTGGAGCCAAAAGGGTTTCGGATGAATCTCCGCCTCCTCCGGAGGTCATCCTCCCAGTAATCCAGACGCCAGAAGTCATGCAGCTGACTGGAAAAGGGGAAAAGACAGGAACTCCTGTTAGGAATCAGAAAAAAAAAATGTTGGAAAGCTAAAATGAAAAAATGAAAGCACAGAATATAATTTTATATGATGAAACAAGCCCTGCTTACTACAGGGCACATCATACTTTGGCACATTTATATATTATTACTCATTTTGTTAAAAATACATTCACAAATGTGAAGAACTACAACAGAAACACAGACACATATGGAAACCCATTTTCATCACATAAGAAAAAAATTATGCTTTGGTAAATCATATGAAAAAAATTGACATCAAAGTTGGAATTATGACATAAATCATAATTATGACAAAAAGCCAAGATTATGAGATACTAAGTCAAAATTATGAGATATAAAGTCAGACCTATGACATACTAGGTCTTAATTTATGTCATAAAAAGTCAAAATTATGACACAAGCAGTTGAATTAGTCATAATTATAAGATAAAAAGTTTTAATTAGGACTTACTACACATTAATTATGAGATTAAAAAGTCTAAATTATGAGACAAAAAAGTTGGATAATTATGAAAAATTATGACAAAAGACAAAATTATGAGATATTAAGTCATGATTATGAGATAAAAAGTCAAATTGATGACTACGCATTAATTATGAGATGAAAGTAAAAAATTATTACATGAAAAGGTGAAATTTTGACATGAAAAGGTGAAATTATGAAATAATGTGAAATTGTTAAATAAATACTAAGATACAATAATGAGAAAGTTGGAACAATATTATAGTCAATATTATAAGACAAAATGTCAACGACAGTCCTAATTATGAAATAAAACTCATTACATAATAAGAATCTGACTTCGTCATCATTATTACTTGCTTAGTTGACTTTGTCATCATTTACATTTTTGTAATTTTGTAGGGCCCTATTTTAACGATCTAAGCGCATGGTCTAAAGCGCACGGTGCAGGTGGCATGTCCGAATCCACTTTTGCTAGTTTAACGACGGGAAAACTGTCGGCGCACCCGGGCGCATGGTCTAAACGTCAGTGTCCTCATTCACGTCAGTGTCAATGCCTCTCGTTTACTTTGAATGGAGTGACGTCAAGCGTTGGCGAAATGAATTGTGGGTCCGTCGCGTCGCATTGGGTCTGTTGCTCGCGGCAGAAGTTGAAAACTTTTCAACTTTTCAAGTGCCAATGCAGGCGTCAATCAGATTGCCTTATACAAATACCCTAGTGCAGACACTAGCCAATCGTGTTCATGCAACACCAGAAGACTAATGTGATTGGCTGTTGTCACTATGACGGTCGCGTCAGCACCAAGCTTCAGAAACGCCCTCCGTCAAGCGTTAACGCTGTGTGTGTAATAAGCAAAGTGTACGCGCGTTGTGCAAAATATAGCTAATTCATGAAGTTCATTAAAGCTCCAGAAACCCAGACACGCTTTTGCACAAGAACCCCTCGGGCACAAAACAGCAGCCGTGGCTCTCCAGCACACAAATAAATAACAGCAAGTCCCATTAACAAATACGGTATCAAATTACAAGTATAAACGGCGCAGCTTGCCTCCTTTTTACTGTGTTTTTTAACAAGTCTTGTAAATCAGAGGTAGGACCCTCTATACAGCCAGAGAGGGGTTTTAATGATGCTGGGGTCTCACCATAGCCACACCCCAGGCCAATAAAACAGGGACCCCCTCCCTCTGCATGTGTGCAGCTGTGATTAAAATAACGTGCTGAAATATTCATTGAAATGATTCCCAGGGCCCTGGAGCAAGCTGCAGAAAATTGCGTTTTTATTCATTATTAATAACAGCAAATTAGAAAACGTATAAGAGAAACAAATGAGAGGCCGAGAAAAAAGGGAAGCAAGGGGAATGAGAGGGAAACGGCTACAGCATGTGGTAACCATCTTTGTAAATGATTATTCCAACATTAGCAGGGACCTGGGCTAATTTTATTGCTTGCAGCTAATGCAAACCATTAAGGGCAGGGACCAGCATCAGGTTACTAAGTGCAGCTCATTTCGAGCGCACTCGGGCTGGAGATGATTCAAAGGCTTTAAAACGGAGTGAGAGGAAGGAGAGGAAAGGAAAAAGCACAGAAAGGAAAAGCAGGCCAGCACCGAATAATACTGCAGCTAATTTACTCCAAAGAGGATTTAGAGAGTGATGATTGGTGTAATTGGGGGATAGATGACAGCATGGTATGGGACAATCAACAAATTCCACATGTGGTTTATCTTCATTACCAGCTACTCGTGGGGAAATACACCATTCACTTTGAGCCATATACTAATTTCCATAAAAAACTATGACATGAGTCATTAGTCTAGGTTCCTATCTTACAAACAGAGGTTAAATAACTATCTGTAGGAATATTGTACAAAAATTAATTGATTTGTGCAAAATTTGTAGGGGAAACATTTTGAAATTCTATCATCATATACTTGCTCTAGTTTTGTCCAAATATATCTGCTTTTATATTTTTCGTCGTAACTAAACCATGCCAGTTTGAAAACGTATATTGATAATAAAATGTATATATAATGTCAATATAATGGAAGTAGCGATAGATCTTTCCAATCTTGTCGTCTCACCAGATCAAATTATGACATTTTGACAAAAAACTACAAGGTTAAAAACTACAATAAAAATGAAGACTATTCATGGAGGAATCATTCACAATAAGATCCATAACATGCATTTTAAAAAAAAAAATAGATGAATGAATTTCCATTTCATATTGACTTTTAGAGTTGAAATGGAGGGAATGATTAAAAATCTATTAAAAATAGATAAAAAATATTTATCTTTTAAAATGTGTAACATTTTATAGTCGCTATAAAAAAGTCATTATGAAGATTCTTCAAAAAAAAAAGTGTGAATAAAAACATATATATATATATATATATATATATATATATATATACACACACACAGGTTTGTTTTTGTGAAAAGTGAGGACATCCCATAGGTGTAATGGTTTTTATACTGTACAGACTGTATATTCTACTGCCCTACACCAACCCTACCCCTAAACCTAGCCCTTAGAGGAAACTTTCTGCTATTTCAGATTTTCAATACACTCCATTCTGTGTGATTTATAAGCATTTTGAAAAGTGGGGACATGGGGTAATGTCCTGAAAAGTCACCTTCTCCTTGTAATACCCATGTCATATCTTTGTCATTATACAAATGTATGTCCTCATTTGTCACAAAAACACACACACACAAAAAGCTGTGAAAAAAAATATTTGTTTGTCCACTATTACTAGTATTTTGCTCACTTGTATATAACAATAGAAGCCAACATTCTCACTTTAACACAAGGCAGAGCCATTCCATAAAAAAAATCCTCAGATCCTACTGAGGTGATTGCCCCAAGCTATGGATTGTACTGAATGGGCCTCTCTCCACTCTGCCATAATATTGAAGCAGTCTAAACAGATTAAAGTGTTACAGCAGGATCACATCACAAAAGCTGCTCCTTGTTGCGTGAATATTATATCTACAAATGTCAAGAAATCAGGAGGCTCAAGGGACTTAGCCGAGCTCTGACAGCAACATGAGTGCTCGCTCTCAGTTTAACATCAGTCAAGAATGTGTGTGTGTGTAGGAAAAAAAGCCTGTTTGCATACATGAGTGGCATGCCTAAAGTTCATCACTCGCCGGGGTATGAAAAGCAAAGCGTTGTGTCGGGGGCTTGTCTGTTGTCAGTCTTATACCTCGAGAGCCAGACAGAGAGAGATGTCAAGAGGCGGAGAGGTCAAAGTCACGTAAATGACATTGTAAATGCAAGATTACAGCGTGAAAAAAAATGTAAATCCCACCGAGGCAACCAGGCGATTACCATTTAAGATTATAACATCCAAAGCCGAGTAGCATACAGCCGCGGGAGAAATCCATGCGCGTACACTTTGAAGATTTCCGAGTTTCCCCTCCCACAGCATATATGATGATTTTGATTTGGTTTGACAGTAGTATTTCGGCTGTGTACAGCAATTCAGATGAAAGCCCAAACATGTTTGTTTTCTTCTTAATAAGTGGATTAGACAACCACACAGTATTACAATGAATGATAAACCGAAGGGTGCTTGATGACACCGTTTACATTTCTTCACCCACTCTTTCCCCTAAAGCATATGCTTTTACTTTGGTGGTGGTTTCCGCAGGATTGGATGAGGGTCCAGTGATACGTTAAACCCTGCGGTCAACATATAGAGCCGGATTAAGTCAGTGCCAAAATTGCCATGACGTGAGTTTCCTCACTTAGGGTGGTCCAGCTCAAAAGAGAGGTCTTCTTCCCACAGGGGCATTATGAACGTATACTGTACTCTTTTACAACTTATTGTAGTCCATTAAAAATACTACAGCAGTCCTTCTGAAGAGCAATGGGTACAATTTACGAGTAAGAGAGCTTACTGTTTAAAAAACAAAAGTTAATATTCAATTTTTAGACACAATATTGCCTGTTTCTTTGTCCATTTTTGTTCCACCAATGAAAACAATTTTAAACAAATCAACAGCAGAATTCACAGAATGTATTTTTGCGTTTAAGAATGCCTGATGGAGGACAATGAAATGGGGGGAAAAACGCAAGGTTTCAAGAACTTATTTTAACTTGAGTGTGGCATTTTTAGAATGCCATGTCATGTGCAAGATGTTGCAAAAGTCACCAGACCTAAGCGCAATGGTCAAATACTTTCAGTGAGTGCTTGTTTATATAGAAAAACTACAGAAAATTGAATTGTTGCACATTTTAGAGCAACCCAGCAGAGGTGTTTTGTTCACCGACAAAGAACGAAACGGTTGAGTGAAAAATCCAGTGACTCACTCATAGGGTGTCTATATTATGCTGCGACAAAGAGCACTACGAAATGATCAATTTCAATGGGGATGAAGCATTGTAAGGGAAGAAAAGGAGAATATAAAAGGGTGTCAAATATTTTGAATCTGCTGACCAATGACAATATCAGATGGGACCAGTTGTGCAGTGAATATTCGATCCTGTCACCTGGC